CACTCAAACTGCTCTGTGACATCTCCTCTTGTTGGTCTTCTTTTCACCCTCCACATCTTTCTTTCATCTCTTACAAAAATAGAGTAGAAACTTTATTCTGTGACACAGATGTCTCAAAGAAAGTAGAAAAGCAAGGAGGAAAAAGTTTGGAGAAGAAGAGCTTGCCTCTCTGATGATCACTCACCTAGACAGGCCGAGCCATCGGGTGCGATCTCGTGTCCGTCGGGGCACACACACTGGAAGCTGCCCTCCGTGTTTACACAATCACCTCCACGGCACAACAGAGGGTTCCTCTCACACTCATCAATATCTGACAATGGAAGAACACACAGATGTACAGTACATACACAGACTCAAGTAGAGAAATTTAGTGTTAGGGTTCAGTCTATCCAAATATTTGTTTCTAGTCAATTTCCAATGAATCCCACTGGATAGATAAATTCTAAACTGTGTTTCCAGCTGGCATATTTGCAGATCAGATTCACCTTTGTTCAGCAATTTAATTGTGATTTAATAGAGGTTGTGGGCCTGACCTTCAGGAAGCACTTTGTTTTTATCCTTGTCTATATAACTCTATGGCTGGCAGCGATGTTAATAACCAAGATTGACCGTAACAAAAATAAAATTTTTAAAAAGGGTTTTTACTTGTTATATATTTTTGTTAGCCAAGTCAGCTAGCCTAGTCAGTACCAGCAGCTTATGATTGCAACCATGCCCATATTATTTCCAGTCTAAGCTGCTTTTTTTTGCCGCAGGGTGCAAGTAAATTGTGTCTCGCCAGTCTTGGTCTAATGGCGGCTTTAGGCCAACAAAAGTATTGAGACTCTGCATTTTGGCTGTACGATTTCTCCAAAGAATTAAATCAAAAAGGCAAACCAGAACAGAAATAGAGCATTAAGTATTTTCACAGATGTCAGAACATTAGGATTTGTAGCCACATATAAAAATCATTTTGCTGGGCAGCTGATTGTGTGTCTCGCATGCAGGTCAAGTACATAATAAATAACAATTATCTTTGAGACTTTATGGAGCAGTTTTGCAAAGACATTGTGACGACACTTGGGCTGCCTAGACAAGACCCTTTCAACGCCCCATAGGGGTTTAAATAAAGTTTTATTCTCCTTCTCTCTCACACACACATATATATACAAATGCACACAGCCTGAAAATTTCAGATTACATCAGCCGTCTAAACAATGAGGCATGTTAGCCTAAGTACCTCATCCAGAGCTTATGGCCCAAAAGGGAGAGTGGAGGAGATGACTGGGTTGTGATTGGGACTGGGGTTGTGTGGTAGGCCTTTCTTATACTTGGAGACCTTTATAGGTTGGCAAAGTTCTCTGCTCTCAGATGATGCCACTTTAACTAGTGTGCAAGAGAACTGTTAAGGAGATCAAATTTCTGACTCATGTGCTCACAGACTAAATGATTTCATATGATAGAGTGCTGTCTTTGCATATAACTGTACCAAATCATCTCAGCCTGAAGAGGTGATTCAATGTATGTATTTTTAGTGTCTGCAGGAGTTGGTCACTCACCCATGCAGTTTTTCATCATCATGAAGCCACTCTCATAACCTTCAAAGCACTCGCATTCAAAGTCTCCTGGTGTGTTGATACACTTGCCCTGTCCGCACAGGTCCGGAGAGATGCGGCACTCGTCGATGTCTACAGGACAATGAATGCAAAACAAAAACAAAACTTAGCCAGGTGGAACTTTATAAAATATAAATTGCACCCACATTCACGAGCCTGTGTTTATTATAAATAGAAATTTAAAAAAGAACATTTGTTTTTGCAGAGATTTTCAATTAAGTAACAAACTGATTTAACATAAGTGAAAAACACATAGTAGTAGAAGCAATGAAGCTATGATTTATACATGTAAGAATAAAAAACATGAAAGCACAGAATATTTAACAAAAGGTTACTACATAAAAGAAAGGCTATAAAATAAGATTAAGAGGTGAATTTAAGGATGATTTAGGCAGCCTTAGCTCTTCAAGCAGATTCTTCCAAAGTCTAAAGCTAAAGGCCTGATCCCTTTGAATTTAATCCACCTTTTGAAACACTTAATGCAAAGACTTCAGGCTGGGATCTCACTCATATGGGGTTAAAAGGTCCCGTATATCATTTACTTACTAAGAGCCTATAAATTATTTCAGAATAAAGCCATGGCACTGGCATTTAAACCTAAAATAATGTGTGCACATTTCACCAGAGCAGTAATGCAGCAAACCAGACAACAGGGACCAGCTCCAACAAGTCCAAAACAGCCAGACTCCCATTAGACTGAATGAGCTGAATGTAGGCAATGGGCTTACACTACTTTACTGTAATTAGTGTTCTCACCGTGATTCAGAGGGGGACTAATGAAGAATAGTTAGACTTGTAAAGATACAATGAAGCTGAGGTATAGTCAATTTATAGTCAGTTTTCATGCTCTTATCTTGTTTTTCTTTACACTTGTTAAAGCACTTTGTAACTTGTTTTTGAAAAGTGCTCTACAAATAAGGATTATTATTATTATTATTATTATATTATTGTCATAGCTGATGTTACATTCCAGCCAAAAATAGCAGCTACACATATGTCAGCTCTTACATTATAGCCAATATGTGAATACCTGATTCCTGAAGAGTTTCAAATTCAAAATGAATCTGTCTAGTCATTCAAGTAACCACTGTACAGTTATTGAACTGTTCCGTGTAGTCCTCATCAATAAGGCTGCATTATCAGTTCATCTGTCAATTATTTTTCAAAAAATCAATTTTGAGCCATATAAAATGTCAGAAAATAGTGAAATATGCCCATCACAATTTTCCAGAGCCATAGGTGGCGTCTTTAAATTGCTCAAAACTTAATATACAATGATACCAAACAGAGAAAAACAGCAAATCCTCATTTGTGGAAGATGGAGCCAGCACAAGTTTGACATTTCTGCTTGATAAATGACTTAAAAGATAAATCAATATCAACTTGTTGTTGATTAATTTCTTTGTCAATTAATTAACTAAACAATTATTCGACTGATTCCTTCAGTACTACTCACCCGTGCAATTCCTCTCATCAGAGTCCAGAGCATAGCCATTATCACAGCGACAACGGAAGCTACCGATGGTGTTTCTGCACCTTCCATTTGAGCACAGAGTGTTTATCATCCTGCATTCATTTATATCTAAGGTATAGAGCAGAGGGGTAAAGACGGGTGAGAGACCATTAAATAAAACCACACTGGCAGTCTATGCAGTCTGTGGACGGCACAATACCTTTGAGGAAGGGCCTGCCGTTGATGAAGTCACCCCTGTGTGAGAAGCCTGGGCCACGGGGACAGAGCTGAGTATATTCTGGTGTGCCCTTCTCCGGACATTCGTCACATTCAGGGCCCCAGGCTACACCTACTGAACAGCAGCAGGCATCCACACGATGCTTCCCTGAGATAGGAGCCCCACAGCGCTCATCCTCATGGGTGAGGTAACACTGCTCCGTACGCAGGTCTGGAAGTCATAGACACAATATTTTACACATATATAAGAATTTGAAGTGGTTTTAATGCACAAGTCCAATCAGGCAGTAACAAAACAAAAACAGCACACATGACATTTAGACAGTAAGATGACATCACTACTACTACATATACATTACCCACCAATGCACGTCCTGCCGCTGACATCAACAGTCATTCCTGGAGGGCACTGGCAGAAAAAGGAGCCTGGTGTGTTGATGCACTTGCCATTGATACACACTCCGGGAAACACTTGACACTCATCCACATCTGACATCCAGCAGAGAAGAACAACATCAACAACAGGTCCAGGGTTTCAAGTTACTCAAATGAAATGCAAGTCTGAATTTCCAGGTCTATGAGGCACCAAAGCAGACATTACCTTCACAAACATTTCCTCTGATTCTAGAGAAGCCTTTACCACAGATTGGATCTGAAAAAGAAGAGGGCACAGTACAATGCCAGTTAATGGAGTTATATGGTAAATTTTAAAATGTGCAAAATGGTACATATTGATCATCTGACCTTTTTCACATTTAGCACACGGGCTGTTCCAGGCTTCTCCCAGTGTGGCGCAGCAATGGGACTTCAGTGTAGCCCCGTTGATGTTGACCTCACAGCGATTATTGACTATCTTCAGCCAGCAGGTGCTTTTAGTAGTCTCTGTTTTATGAAACAAGCCTTATAGTTACTAGACATTCAGTTATATGGAATGAAATAACATCTGGGTAACACAGGCTGGTATGTGTTAATTGATGCCTAAATTCTGCAATTAATTAATATATTTTGCATTTAATTAATCAGGCACAGCTCTTCTAAAATAAGAGAGTGATCATTGGCTTACTAGTTGTCAAAGTTCCCTAAACAGGAAAACCAGTTTCTCCAGGCTATACCAGTTTCATCTTTCAGATTTTCAAAGTATTATTTTATTGTGTTCCAAGTTTTGCCAAATGTAAACCAATTTTTTCACATTGTTTAATGTAGTTGATCACAGAGCTGTTGCAATGTTTAACTTGAGGTTAGACAGCTTTTTGTGTGTTATTATAAAGTGGGAAAAAATGCTTATTTTTTAAAACCACATTGAACTAGTATAACTTAATAATACTTAATACTTAATAATTGTTACTATTAACTAAGTTTGGTTTTATTTTAAATATTTTTTATTATTTTTTATGTTGAATAATTAAACATTTGGCCAGACAAACTACTGTTTTGGTGATGCTCACTTACCTATACACTCCAGCCCAGAGCTGTCCAGCGAACTGCCCACTGAACACAAACACACAAAGGACCCTGGGCTGTTCCTACAATCTCCATTAACACAGGGGCTAGACTGACACTCATCCACATCTGTGGGAAACAAACACCAGATTTAGTTTCTCATATTGGCCATTTCATTTTAATCTGATATAGTAGACATGCTGTGGCATTGTACTGTACAACAGAAGAAATGAGTCTCTGACCCTCGCAGACGTCTGTCTCAGGATCAAAGAGATATCCTTTGGGACACTGACAGGTGAAACTGCCTGGTGTGTTTCTACACAGACCGTTTTCGCACAGCAGCCTGTTCATTAGACATTCATCAATATCTAAAAACACACAGAGAGAGAAAACACTGGCTTTTAATATGAGGGCTGTATACTTTAATTTACTAAGAGGACGAGGAAATTATACAGCAGTTAACTTACCAACACAGTTTTTGCCCGTCAGGTCTACCTCAAAACCTTCATTGCAGGTGCATTTGTATGTCCTCAACATATTCTCACACACCCCATTCTGGCAGATGTCAGGGTCGAGGGCACACTCGTTAATATCTGAGAAGGCAAAGAATAACCTGTTGGAACATCACAGTAGGAAAAAGCTCTAAGTAATAACCACAGTTCATTTGTTGGCTCTGTTTGGTTTCTGCAAGCTCTCTGTTTTCATATCATTGAAACACACACGTTGAGCTTGCATTCATTACCTCTTCCATCGCCAGTTATGCCAATGCCATTGGGACACAGAGCCAGGAACTCAGCTGCAGCAAAAGACACAAATAGCACAGTTTGGTTGAAAAAAAAACCAAAAACAAATAACAGGATTTGAGAAAATTTCTCATTTGCCAAAATCCAAGAAATCTCAAAGCAAAACATTTAATACCATGTCATTATCCATTTCCATGCTTTCTCATTTAGCCTAGATGTATATAAAATGGTCTCCTTAATGTGGTGCAGTTCTGGCGTCTTTTGATATAGAAACTTTAATTGGCAGGACTAATGAGTGAATAATGTGTGGGTGTGGGTGTGTGTGTGTTTGTGTGTGGGTGTGGGTGTGGAGGCTGTCAATGTCTCCTAACTGTGGGCGTCTCTGTCAAACAACTTAGCCTTGATTTCATTTTCTGTCATTTATGAAATCCAAGCCGGCATGACAGAAAAGACAAAGCATTTAATCTGGTCTTCCTGAATTTGACAGGTGTGTTTAGAATTAAACACAACCTCTGTGTGCCTTTCTGTGTGTGTCTGTATGTCAGGCGACAGGAGGTGGCACCATATGTGTAAAGGGTGGAGTGATTTAAATATCCGTACCAGAGCTCTGTGGTGGGCAGGGGTGGCAGGGCTCTCCGTAGGCGTATTCTGTGCTGGCACAGCAGCACTCTGACTTGGTCACAGCTCCAAATAAAGGCCTAACACACTGCCCTCGCTTGTAGCCACCATAACACGAACTGCGCATATGTGTGTCTGTTTCGGACAAAACAAGACAAACCCTGTGTGAGAAACAGGGATGAGGCAAGGGATCTGGAAAGAGACTGGAGACGAAAGAGAGAGAAAGGGAGGCAAGAGTCCGTAGCTCCTATAAACAACAACACTAGCAAAACAAACGGTTGTTCTCTCTCCATAATATCCAGGGATTTGAGGCATTCTCCTGCGCTGATATCATCCCGACGAAAACTCACCCAGACCCAAAAACAGCATTTCAACACTTCCCACACAATACACAAAGAAATGACATGTGGGGGAATGTAGGAATGTTCAAAATAAAGGCATACAGATCTGCTCTGCGTGTGCCAGTCCAGGGGACTGGAGCACAAGGAGGGAGGAAAACGTTTTTCAATATTGATCCACATAATGATGAGCATATAGTTGCAAAAGGTTTACAGGATGAGCTGTTGGTAAAGTTTATTACGACACAGTTATTCTCTGCTTTGTCACATTCAGTTTTGCTTATTGTATCACTGAACTGGAACATATTTTGTTGTGGTTATTCTTGCTAAAATGTGCAGACAGATTAAAGTATGCTCACTATGAGCATTCAGTTATTTACAGTTTTTTTCATTTGCTAACCTGCGTTGGTCAAAACTGAAGTCACATTGTCAAAACTCTCTCACTCTCAAAAGTGTATGTGGACCAAACTGTGAATCATTTTTCATTGCTTTCACACAAAATGCATTCAATGACCCCTTTCTCCAAAATTCATGAACTCTTTTCTCATTACTACTTTACCACCTGTAAAACACTGTATATCTGCAGCACGTTTTTCAAATGCTAACACACTGTGTCCAAAACTGAAAACACATTCAAAACAGATTGATGGTAAATGTACTGCATTACTGCAGTGACCAGACTGAAATAAGTAGAAAATCTTAGAAGACAGGCAATATCACTTTTGGAAATGGGAATTCGGTCAGCACAACGACAATTGCCAGAGTCCTGGAGAAACATAAAATAAGGACGAAGCAGTTGTACACTGTACCATTCGAGAAAAACTGTGAACTTGTGAAAGAACTCGGTTATCAATATGTAAGATGTCTGTTCAATAATCAATCAGGGAACATACACAGTGATGCATAATGTGAAGTCCTGTAAAACTGTGTATTTACTGTATTTTAGAGCGTAATGGAGCTGCAAGCCAGGGAAACTGCACATACATTCATCTTTGTGGATGAAGTTGGATTCAACCTGGCAAAAACACACCGCAGGGGAAGAAATGTGATTGGACAGAGAGCAACTGTGGATGTCCCAGGGCAGAGAGGAGCATAATCACGATGTGTGCAGCACTGTCCAATGATTGTTTGCTATTACACAAACCACTCATTGGCCCCTACAATACGGAGAGCTTCATGTCTTTCCTGGATGACCTGCATAATCGCCTTGCGCCAGTGGAGGAGAGAGGAGCAAGAAACTCCCCTGTCTTTGTTGTTGTGTGGGATAATGTGGCATTCCACCACTCTGCTGCAGTTGCAGACTGGTTCGCTGCACATCCCAGGATGTCAGTGCTGTTCCTGCCTCCATACTCCCACTTCCTAAACCCCATAGAGGAGTTTTTCTCTGCATGGAGGTGGAAGGTGTATGACCACCATCCACATGACCAGATGACCTTACTGGATGCCATGAATGCGGGATGTGGAGACACTTCTCCTGGAGACTGCCAAGGTTGCATTAGACATTCCAGAAGATACTTTCCAAGATGCATCGCCAGGGAAGACATAAGATGTGATGTTGATGAGAACTTGTGGCCAAATGCAGCAGAGAGGGAGGACTAGCACCCTCAAGTACTGTACATTATGAGTTTTTGAGGTGTTTCTTATTTGTATTACTGTTTGCAGCCCTGGAATTCCAGAAATTTGGGGGGGGGGGTTGTTTCAACTTACAGTAAAATTTTTCACAGTTTACAATACTATCCACAGATATAGAACAAATAAAGGATATTGAAGCAAATTGCTGCATTTCTGATGCATTCTTGTTACCTATACTTTAGTACCGTCAAAGTGAAAATATGTTATTGTTATTGTATAATGAAAACCAAATTTATTCGCTCACGCTTCAAAGATAAAAGTTCTTAATTTATGTAATGCTCCCTGTTTTTAGTGTTTTGTAGGTCAGTGTGTTATGAGTGAGGCTGTATCCTTTCTAAATGAGAATTGTTTCCGGTGTTTTGGTTGAACGAGTCTATCTTGAGACTTGTACGAAGTGTTTTGGTGGTTTGAGTGACTTTTGGAGGTCAGATTAACAGTTTGGCCAAGATGCCTGTTGGTAATGCAGACTGTGTGAAGAATTTTGAAAAAGTGGCTTCAGTTGTGACCATTGCATCTTAGCAATTGAAAAAAACTGTAAGAAAACATATTTTGACAAAAGCTTTGTCCAATCACGGTTGGGTAAAAGAGACGAATGGACACCTATGCAATAATTGACTAGAAACCTAAGCATATTTGCTCGTAGGAAACTGCTAGAAGCACGAGTTCTTTACCAAAGTAGTCAATGAACGTCTTCAGCAGAGACATTGTAAAAAAAATCTAACTTCTATCTTCTCTTTGAAGCAACAGGGAACTTTCACAGGAGTTGCAGCCAGACTGAAACAGGGGGACACATACCAGATACAAAAAGAGGGTTCATCTTCAGTATCTCATGAAGCAAAACCCGTGTGGCTATCTAGCTAACTTTGCCTAAAGAGGGTGTTGCTTTTGAACTGAGATCAATGTGAGATTATTGTTTGCCACTCATGGAAGCAAAACATTTACTCACCAACACAGACTCGTCCATCCAGGCCCACTGCCATCCCAGCCATACACTCACAGCGGAAAGATCCCTCCGTGTTGACGCAGTGGCCGTTCATACACATGCCTGGAGTCTCACACTCATCAATGTCTAGAAACAGATGTAGCAAAATAATTTATTAATTCGCAAAATGAATGGCAAGAGGCTAGAATCTATTAAAACAAAGCAATTTCCTGCTGAAGCAGTGATTATTAAAGTCCTCAGGTACTTGGTTCATTTAAAACCCAGCCAATACTGCTGCACATTTTCAGTTTTACGATCTCAATGAAGAAAACATTCTTTTCCTTCCCCTTGATCCCATCAGCGTATTACAATAATTATCATAATGAGCATAAACAATGACATGGCATCATGCATGCATAAGTGTGTGTGTGTGTGTGTGTGTGTGTGTGTGTGTGTTCTGTCTGGGTGTGTTGGGGGACAGACAGACTGTAGATCGAGATGATGAGGCCCCAGGGCCCCTTTAGACTACACATTTCATTAATGACTGCAAACATCTGCATACTTCGCCCAAACCCTGCTCTGCTATTTATTTATTCTGCTATGACTTAACCAGGTCAGTGTCTCTGAGATCAAACGTCTGTATCTGAAGCCATGTGGAGCAAAACACAAAACACACAATACACACTGTAAAGACTGTTCTTTACGGGACATTTGTTGGATTTATCTTTTCAACATTACAATTATTTAAAATCTGTTTGATATTGTACACAGCATTTGATAGTGTCATTTACGACAACAAGGTTGATCACTTGCTATGTGTCTCTAATCAAACCGGTGCCTAATATAGCATGTTTTGTCTCAGCTCAATCTCTTTGCACTGAACAAGTTTAGGGAAGGCTGTCTGCTAGAATCTCAAAACAGGTGGGCCCCAAATAGCCACATGTCCAGCTGGCCTGCCTGGATGCTGGGGGATTTTTCCAAGCTTTTTAGAGCATTTATGACTTGTGTGTGAAGACTCACATTACAGAACTACTAACATGACAGAGAGGTAGCCACCTTCCAAGCCAGACGGAAATGCAGATCAAAGAACAATTGGCTCATAATATATTCAGGTGATGTACAGATGCGATTTTAATTATCTGACAGTCTGCGGGCTTTCTGACAAACACACCTACACACATGCGTCCACTGGTGTCCAGCAGGAATCCAGGTTTACAGATGCATTTGAAGCTGCCATCTTCATTGATACAAAGTCCATTGAGGCACATGTTCCTGATAAGACACTCATCCTGGTCTGTGGATGAACAGAAACAAACTGATAGACTGATAGCAGTGCATTTAGGTATAAAGATAGAGTGGTTAAAGGCACAAACTGGTGGTTTTGCATGGTTTAGTCCATAAACAGCCAAATAAACTGGAGCTATCTAGCAGAGTATCATTAGCATTAGCAGGACCACACTTCAGTCATGCCGGAATTTCCATAAACATCCACCGAACCCGTCTTCTCTTCTTTACTCTCTTATTCTGCCCCCCCCACCCCCCACCCCTCTTTCTATCTTGTTTCTTAATCTCCTTTTACTCTCCGTAGGGTTAAGAGGGGGTCCTTTGTGCCAGGGTGCTATGGCTGATTTCCCACTAAAGCTTCCCCAACACACAATAACAAACCAAAGCTGTACACAATCTTTGTGTTTCATCAATAAATCATTTTAATGCATCTGTTGATAGTGTGGTCCTTGCTAGTGTATATACTTCATTTTGTCACACACCAGAGATAAATTACGATTTAGTTTACTTCATTCTCTCAATCAGATTGCCATGCTGGCTTTAACCAAAGTTATATTGTTACTGTTAAAGAATGCAGTTGTAAGCAAAGACTACTTTCAAACCCCTTCTTGGTCAGCGTTGGGCGGTAACGCGTTACTCAGTAGTCGTTACTACAATGTTATTACTTTCCCCAGTAACTAGTAGTGTAACGGATTACTATTAACAATAGTAATATTATTACAGTTACTCATCCAAGTAACGCTGTGTTACTGTGTTACTGTGTTACTGTGTTACGAGGACACTGTTTTGTTGTCCTTATGGCCGAACTTACTGTAGATTGTGACATACCTTCAATAGAACTCGAGGATGCTTGAATGACCCACTTGCAAATCAATGCAGCGCAGCAATAGGGAGTGCAAAGGGACAGTTTGCATTAGTCACCTAATCAGGAGAATCAGCAGATTACTATTGTCTGGTACAGCTTAGCGGGATAAGCAAAGTGGCCGGTGGACCCTCTGCCTCAGCTGTCTCCCATTCCTTTGTTCCATTAACAACTCTATTTGACTGCATATGAGCAAATGCTCCAGTATTTTACTGAGGAGAATGAGCGCTGCTACGCGTACCTGTGTGTGTAGTGTATGTACATTGTGAGTCTGCCAATGTAGGCCCATCTTACTATCTGAATAATGCACCAATTCTACCATCCAACAAACAGTTCTGAGGGAGTCTACTGGCCTATTAATGGCAACAAAGGGTTTCCTGTGACGGACTACCTATCTAAAGCAAGTTTGCAGTTTGCAACTAAAATGAATGAAAACAACTGAATACCTGCAAGGTAAGAAGTAAGTATTAACAATTGGGAGTCCTTTGGAAAAGGGTTGGTAGTAATATAAATGTACATATTTTGTAGTTAATGGGCTGAAACACACAAAACCACCAGCATGATCATTTAAAATGTTGCCTATAAGGGCACATGCCTCCATCAGCTATTGTTATTAAATTACCACCTCCAACAGATCCATGGTCCATTAAACATTACACATAACTTTGGTTATTACAGACACTCTCCTTAAAATATGTCTCTACTCCATAAATGTCAGAAGTTGACAGACCTTGACAGTTTTTGCCATCTGCTGAAATCTCAAACCCAGCATTGCAGACACAGTGGAAGCTGCCCTCAGTGTTCACACAGCGGCCATTGTTGCAGATACGACCATTGGCCACACACTCATCCAGATCTGGCAGAAACAAACAGATAAAGCACAGTAAACACATACATCCTCTTAAAGTGTGGGTGTACATGTCTGTGTACGTGTATGCATATGTAACCTCGGCACTCTGTCCTGGTTGCAGTAGTCTGGAATCCAGCAGGACACTGACAGATGTAAGACCCTTCGGTGTTCACACATTCTCCATGTGCACACGGGTTTCTCTCACATTCATCAGCATCTGGAGAACAAATATAAAGTTCAAAAATGTTCTTCACCTGCAGTTTAATGCTCAAGAACTTGTTCCTCACCATGTCAAAAACTTACCGATGCACTCTCCTCTTCCATCCAAACGAAAGCCCATGTTGCACTCACAGCGATATCCAATGACAGGCACGGGGATACACCTGCCATTCAGGCAGAGGTTACGGTAGGCCTGGCACATGTTGGTTATATTCTGGCCTTGGACAATAGGGGGACCTGCCAGAAATGTTCACAGAAACATATCATCTATAGATCATAAAATGCAACAGCAACAAATGCACAGCAACTGCTTAGTATCTTTTTGGTTGGTGCTGCTGTTTTTGTTCTTTTGTAATCTTAATTTATAAGATATCTGGTCAACAGAAAATGTACATAGTCTACAGTATGATCAAACAAAACAGTAAAGGAAGCACAACTGTCTGCGAAAGCATTTCATAAGAATGCAGTTTTGCATTGCCAGACCTATCTACCCCCTTGAACTGTACTAAGGTCTGGCAGGACCCACTATCATTATCATCAAAAATGCACTAAGTTGTTTGAACTTCTTAAGTGAAGCCTAAACTCTGACAAACTCCCCTGTAAAACAGTTCCGGAGGAAATGTTATTGGGGAAGGTTTTGCAAATGGCTAATTAAACTCTTGACTTGGTCTGGTCTACAAACATTCAAGGACATTTTCTTCACATTTACTTTGGATATCTTTACAGCAATACCCAGATGAACCAAGCAGCCCTGTGTCAGTGTACAATTAAAGTCTTGAGTGAAATGTTTCCATCATTAATATGTAACTCATGTAATGTTAGCTAGAGGGAATGGGTTGTGATTGCTCAAAACCAGGATTTTGAACATGGCAACACAAGACCAGTGGGAGGTCGAGCATTGCACATCCACTGAGTCACACCAGAAAGTATGAGTTGTAAGCTATTATTGCACACGTCAACTTTGAAGAACGTACACCAAACACAAGTAGAAAGCAGGAGCCTACCTGGCGGAGGGTGTAAAGGCAGATGCGGAAATTGTCCGGGAAATGGAACTGGGATTTGTCCTGGGATTTGTACTGGAGTTTGTCCTGGAATCTGACCCGGTACTTGGCCAGGGACGTGGCCTGGAACCTGGATGGGAATTTGACCAGGAATCACTCCAGGTACCTGGCCAGGAACTTGCCCTGGAGTTTGACCAGGATATGGAACTGGGTAGATGCTGGGAAGGTCAGGGCTCCCTGGGACATGACCAGGTATCAACACTCCACCGTTCCCATCAGGTATCTGGATGCACAGTTTCTGATACTCCTCTAAAATATGCACAAAACGGCAGGGGGTTAAATATGTGTTGAAACATGGTAATGCACACATGAGAACAAAATATTTAACGCCAAGTGATTGGGAGTGACCCTAACCTGTTCCACGAATGGGGCACATTTCAGGAGTGGATCCATCAGACCAGCAGCGTCCACTATCACAGCAGCACTGTATTTTGGTCAACAGCTGTGAGTTTTGGTTGGCACACCGCCCATTCAGCAAGCTAGCGTAGCAGTACCCACCACGAGCATCTGTGGGAAACAACACAGCATGAAGTTGGTTAAACTAACCATGCTGTATGGACTATGGCATGTGTTGTCTGGATGTTGAGCAAACTGGCAGGAGTACAATCAAAAGGTTGTTGTTGCTTCAGATTTTCCATCATTTGGAAGATGGAAGTCACTTCCAGTAGTCATCACTTCCTATTTATGAGAACCATTCCTACATCCTGCAGTTTCTGGCACTGTGCACAAGCGTGACTAACACTCAGACAGGTTCCCTATTAACATAAATATATTATGTCTTGTTTCACACCCAGCCAATCCGGCGTATTCATATGGAGAAACTGACAGGCTACACTACTATAGCTCGGTTAAGTTTGACAAAATGTCAAAAGAGAGTTGATGCATGGGAAAGAGTTTTTTGGAGCAGAAGACGCAGACATTCCTTTCTCACAAACATCTTCTCCTGAGGGGTAATGTGAGCGTGTGTTTGCATATGTTTGTGTATGAATGCATGTGTGTAAGTCTGCATGTGTGATTATGTGCGTGTACATCTAATGGACTATTTTGACCCAAATTCCTCCCTGGTCTGTTTTGGGTCAAACTGAGCAGCACTTGCAAGCTTTACAGGCATTTTTGGTGATTGTCTGTGTTTGTGTGTTTGCTTGTCTGTCTGAATATGCACACTGTTATCAACCTCCCAGGATGTGGAGTATTGAATGACACACATGTAGAGTGGCAGAAAGACAACACACATGCCTACTTATTCCAACCACAAAGTCAAAAAACAAAGTCACTTGAACACGACTGGAGTTCACTTCTCTCATCCCGTCCCCTCCTCAGTTTAAAGGGAATATAGCTCATTGTTGTGGAACTAGAAACAAGCAAGTGACTACTGACCTAAATTCTACCAGCTGGAACACTGGAAAGATTTCATTACTTTCTGCTCCTAGTGCCAGGCATAAAGAGAGACAAATCAAAATGGGGTGGAAAAAGAAAGTGAATGAGGCAGCACCTTTTATGCTCAACTGCAGGTCTGAGCTGAGAGAATGAACCAAAGCAAATACAATCCAAACAATTGTCCTTTTGATGAGGTTTGACTGCCAGTATAACAGAGGACTCACCTATACACCTGGATCCGTCCACAGAGGTGTAATATCCCTGGGGACACTTGCAGAAGTAGCTGCCAACAGTATTAGAGCATTCACCTACACCACAGAGACCTTGAATGTTTGAACACTCATCCAGATCTACAGAGAGGAAAGGAGTGGAGGAAATTACAATCAAGCATGGTTAAAAAAAATTGAATGCTTCCTGTTTGTTCTTTGTTGCTAAAATTGCATTGCAATCATAACTGTTGATGAAAGTGATTAAACAGAAAACTAGCTTGAAATGTGATTCTCTTCGAAAGTGACTATAGCACATATTGGCAATGACAATGCAAATAAGTCATTGTCATAGGATATTAAATGCAGGGCCCTTTGCTCTTCTGTTCACTTTTAACCACCAACCATCGTGCACAAAGTCTGTTAAGAAATACACTGTAACTTAGACCAGTTTGAAATGTCTTTTACACAGTCCAGAAGTTTTCCGGCAATTATTTCTGGGCATAAAATAGCACATATTTCACTCTGAAAATGAGTGCCACAAAACCCTGCTATGTCTGTTTCAATAGTTAAACTTGGTCTGGAAATTGTCATATTCATGTCTTAATGAGACAACACTTTTCACAGGCTAACTGTGCGTCTTTATTTGTGGGAGAACAGAAGTGATGCAGACAGAACGGTTTCATTTAAGATTGTTCAGCCAGAAACACTAAAAAAGTCTCTCAGTTGCAAGAATTATAAAGTAGGAAAAACAATGTGATCAAGCAATTCTGTAAGCCAGTCAGAAGGTGATAATTAGGATCCCCAGCTGAGAGAAAAATGTCTTTTCAAAACTACATGTGGACATAATGTTCTCTGACTGTGTCTTGACAGATCATGTTGTGCACTGACATACCTGTCTGAGAAGCTCTTTTACAGCGATTTAACTTTGGCTGAACAGTGGCCACTGTGGCCAAAAGTGAGAGTAAAACTAAATGCTAAACTACTAGTAAGCAATTAGCTAAAATGCTAAACTAATATAACAGTAGCGCGAGTGGAGAAGAGTCATGAGTCAGCGAAGTGACTCAATAATGTGTATTATTCAGCAATATTTACATAAAAAGTTGAGCTTTATTAGCATTAGCTCACATAAGCTACTGGTCTTACCAGACTAACTAAGGTTGTAGCAGCAAAACCCCTCAGGGAACTGAATTAAGCAATGGCACATTTTATTGCTCAAGAATTCAACATTTCATTTGTGGAGGAAAGGTGTGGTATATACTTTTTCAAAAGTTACATAGTCTCACTTCAACACAAGTTTAGGGGGGAAAAAACTACTGAAATGTGTTATACAGGATTACTGAAAGAACTGAGTTGAGTGCCACTATGATTTAATTAAACATATTTCAAAGGAAGGGCAAAGTGGCTTATGTGTGGTCTCTCCCCACAAAGTAACAATCAGAATACCGCGACTGAGGGGAAGTTAACCACAACTAGACGGATATGGCTTTCAACTCTACTTTCACACCGTTATATAATTTATTTTAGCCTGATCTGTCATTCAAGCTAACACTGAAAGTCAGACATTTCACAGTTTTAATGTGATGGCTGCTGCTTTGATTCTTACCTTCACATTTCTGTGAGACCTCATTGAACTTGTGCCCAGCGGGGCATTTACATTCAAAGGATCCCACTGTGTTGATACAGTTTCCTCCTTGACAGATGCCAGGGATGGCCTGGCACTCATCCACATCTGTACATACAAAGAATACAATTAATACACACCATAACACACAGATGAACAAACACACATGGACACAGATTGCTTTAATGTTCAAATCCAGACAAACAGACACAGAGATGGTCAAATATAATAATAGAGAGAAACTGAAGCCAAATCGACCAAGGAAGAGATAAAAAAGAGGGAGATAAATATAGAAAGGACAGGTCTACAGTCAGATAGAAGGTTATAGTTGGAATCTGTGATTTTGCGAGGTACATTGGTGATTAAATTAAATTAATTTAAGGAATATGACAGATTACAACGTAGGTCTAAGACTAAAAACCTCCAGGAGGCTGTGACCTGATGCAGTCCCAGAGTACTCCATGTTCCTCTGGGTCCTGGCTCAGGGCCGCCTCCCCTGCAGAGATTCTGATGTTGTTGGGTCTGGAGCAAGCAGGCACAGGGCCGTCTTAGCAGAAATGAGCTCTCCCACGTGGCACTGCCAATGACCCGTGTTACTGACTCTGACAGTCCCACCCCAGCAGGGGTCTGCAGGCATTCCATACACATGTAGGAGGCACTGCCGCCCACCCCAATTTAACCCAATTAGAAATAATCCTCTGGAGAGGGGATGATGGGTAGAGATGAGGGGATGACAGAGGAAGAGGGGTGAAGGCAGACAAGGAGGGAGAAGGAGTTAAAAGGGGCAGAGAGAACAGAAGCAGAAGTTTACTCAAATGAGAGGGGAGGGAGGGTGACAGAGAGAGAGAAAGAAAGAGACAAAAACAGAAAAAGAGACAGAGACACTGAGGAACAGACTTTACCTTGGCACGCCCCAGTGCGGTGGTTTGGTATGAACCCTCTTCGGCAGGGGTGAGGCTGGGCTGGGCACATCTCACAGGGGTGACCCCACGCCCGTCCCACTGTGGCGCAGCACAAAGTTTTTGTGCACACAATGCCTGTGAGCTGGCCTTGACACATCTGGTTATTCACAGAGGCGAAGCATGGCCCAGTGCGGTAGTCTGTAGAGGCAAAGCAGGAATTTGCTTTTGTGAAAACAATTTGTCTCTTTATTTTCAGTACAAACGCAATGCAAAACAGCAAGGTTTGGTAGCCATTCAAACAGAAATTTGGAAAAAAAAAACATTTCCACTGGTTGAAGTATTTCAGATATAAGAAACTGCAAAACAGTTACTTTGTAAAACATTTCAACCCCAAATGTGATAAAGAAAGCTAAAGCAAATGCTGAAAAACATAGAACCTGAACTTGATTCTGTGAGTGATTAACTGTCTGGAATACACAACCAGAAACACTCAATCTGAATATAATTTTTCTTGACATCTACAACTCACTCACATTATATGTGATGAAAGTGCTGCAGAGCAGACAGTATCATGCTCCATAAAGAATGCATTGTCTGTTGCTGGCATTTTAATCGGTCTGGCTCTCAGGTGCATTGTACGTGCGTGTGTGCGTGCGTGTGCGTGCGTGTGTGTGTATGTGTGTGTGATAGAGAAAAGCAGAGATAGGGAAGGGGTCTGGAAAACCTTTTAAAGTTGTGTGGGCGGCTGTGGAGAGCAATAGGCAAAAGCTAGAATAAGCAAGAACACCCAGACAATGAAAAATCAGTCTGCTGCACATATTATATGATCATCAGAGCTTTAGTTACTTGCATTGTGTTTTTAAGGCAAAATGGCACATTTACCATGTGGTGTGCTGATTTTTATTACTTTTCTAGTAATACATAATCTACGGAATAGGTCATCATCCCTAAGGCCGGCAGAGGCTGACAGGGTGTGTCTATGGAACACAGTAGGTGATTTCCACACTAGCTACAGCAGCCTAGAATTAAAACGAAAAAACATATAATAAATATGAGCTCAATAGTGTGAAGAAAGTCCCTCCATCGAGATTCTCTCCTCCCCTTCAAACTGGTTTAAACCTAATTCCCTTGATCCCGCTGCTTGTATGCATCTATCCCATCACTTCATCCTCTGTCCAAACACCACTCCTTAGTTGCAAACTCCCCACAGATTTAACAAAATCACTGAATCTTATCAGGTGAAGGATTGGAAGATGGTGAAACAGAGATAGGGACAGCGAGAAAGAGAGTGGAAAAAACTCATCCCTCCCAGTAGAATCTGGACGTGATCCAAAGGCAAAAATCATTTCCACATTTCACGGCAGACAACAAACAGCGAGAGGAAAGAGGGAGACCAGTTCCAACAGCGCAGTCATTTAAAACAAACGAGACATTGTGCGTTTCCCGTGTGGACCAGGGCCCAGCCCAGACCCGTCACGTGCACCACAGCTTCTACGGTCTCTATGCCTCTGGCACCAGCGTTGTGTGAAACAGAACTGGGTCATCTCTCCTTCTCTTTCTCACTCTCTCCTGCTCAGGCTCTACTGGAGACCGAATGCTTTTGATTCTTAGTCTTCTTCTCGTTCCACTCAGGGTGGAAAGTAACTAGCTACATTTACTGAAGTACAGTTTTGAGGTTTGAGTATTTACATTTTGGGCAACCTCTACACCACAACATTTCAGAGGGAAATATTCTTAATCCACTACAGTCATTTGAGAGCTACCAGAAAGCTGGAACTTACTACTTTCAAGAATAACTTGCATGCTAAATAACACATGCTAAACTCAGATGACATGAAGCATTGTAACATAACCTAAACCTAAAATGTTACAATGTTTAAGGAATGGTTCAACATTTTGAGAAATAGGCCCACGGTTATTCGCCTTCTTACAGATATCGAACAGAAAAATGATCCTACGTCTTTCCAGCGTGAATGAAGCTACCTCCACGAGCCGGTTAGGTTAGCATACAGTAGCAAAAATACTTGAAACAGCTAGCCTGGCTCTGTCTAAAGGTTAGTATTTTCCAAAATATGCACATAACCCCCTGTTCTTACACTATTTTACCTTCAAATAGAGCCAAGCTAGCTGTTGCCTCCTGTGTCCAGTCTGTAGGCTCTGCTAAACTAAGCTAGCCATGTTCTGGCTCCAGCTTCATATTTAAGAGACACATTTGTGAGTGGTATGATTCTAAATATCTAAGGTAATGATTATGTTTAACAAAATGTCTAACTATTCCTTTAAAAGTAAAAGTAACAGTAACTCAACAACATTAAAGGGGCTGCAACTTTTACTTATGATACTTACCTACATTTTTTTCTATTTAAATCAAATTTTGAATGTAAGACTTATAATGGCTTGTTTTAACATTGCTGTATTTTTACTTTGAATTAAGCAGGGATGTGATTTTCCGACCTGAAATGTGATGCACGTGAATGATGCAGATCTGTAATAAATAAAAAATTACAGATTTTTTTTTTGGGGGGGGGGGGGGGTACAGGACCTGGCCTAGTGAAATAGAAAGGATCTAGGTTGACGTGTGTAAAGTTTTCTTCCCTTCTGAGTATCAAGGATGTTCGTTAACGCTCAGCTGCCAATTCCACACCTGCGCAGTGTGTACCACAGGCACTCTCGCACATCAGTGGTACGTAATGTGTTGGGCAGTAATAGACCTACTGCAAAATTACTTTCCCAGTAAAGAGTAATGTAACGGATTACTATTTCCAAAACAGTTGTATTATTACAGTTACTAATCCAAGTAACGGTGCGCTACTGAACGCACCATCCCTGACGTGAATAATAATAATAATCTTTAGTTGTAGAGCACTTTTCAAAAACAAGTTACAAAGTGCTTCAACAAGTGCGTAGACAACAATACAATACCCAAAAGACAACAATACAAGCAAGAAAACATTGAAAAGACCAAAATACACATTTAAGATAAATAAGTAAAATAGAACCAAATAAAAGGGATAAAATAAAGTCAAATAAGATCGGGAAAGGCTCTCCTACAAAAGTATGTTTTAAGAAGGGACTTAAAAGAGTTCACTGACTCAGCCGACCTGATTTCCTCGGGCAGGCTGTTCCAGAACCTCGGGGCCCTGACAGCAAACGCTCTGTCCCCTTTAGTTTTCAGTCGAGACTCTGGAACAGACAACAGACCTCTGCCCGGGGATCTCAAGGTACGTGCTGGTGTGTATGGGACTAAAAGATCAGAAATATAACGCAAGGCAAGAGGCCATGAAGAGCTTTAAAAGTGATCAATAAAATTTTAAAGTCAATTCTAAAACACACTGGGAGCCAGTGTAGTGAAGCTAAAATAGGGGTAATGTGGTCATATTTAATATATCGAGTTCTGGACAGTCTGGAGTCGATCAGCAGATTTTTGGGTTAAACAAGTGAAAAGGCTGTTGGCAATAATCCAGGCGTGATGAGATGACGGCGTGTAAAATGGTCTCGGTGTCCTTAAAAGTTAACATAGATCGATGCTATATTTCTAATTGATAAAAACATGATTGAACAAGCTTTGTGGTGTGCTGCTGGAAATTTAAATTACTATCAAACCAGACACCAAGGTTCTTTACAACAGGTTTAATGTGATTTACTAGGGAACCAGCAGACGGCAGTATTTGTTTTGCCATCTGCTGGGACCCGATGACCAGGATTTCTGTTTTTTCTGAGTTCAGCTGGAGCAAGTTATTTGACATCCATTTTTTAACTTCACAAAGGCAGTCGGTAAGTGAACTCAGCATTTCAGGGTCTGTGGATCTGACGGACAAGTACATTTGTGTGTCATCAGCATAAATATGAAAAGAAATACCTTGTTTATGGATAATATGTCCAAGGGGAAGCAGATACAAGGAAAACAAAATGGTCCTAAGACCGACCCCTGAGGCACACCATATTTAACTGGACAGAACGAAGAGACATAGTTGTTTACAGACACACAAAACTTCCTATTTGACAGGTAGGATGAAAACCGACCGCGGCTGGACCTTATGTTATTAAAGTCAGCTGGAGAACAGGGAGAGAGAGGTATTTTCGACAGCTGTAAGTAACGTTATTGCCATTACTGTGTCACAGTCTAAGATGCAAAGAACATTGTTGTCCGTTGTAAAGTTTTCAATCGCGAACAGTTCTACATTTATACTTAGGCTAATTGAAGCATCAGCTAAAGCAACACAGCAATGTGAAACTCAGAGAGAAACTCCGTCCGCTGCTGCCAGCGATGCTTGGACTCATCGGGAGCGAGTGGCGTTATAATAGGCTATCACCCAGTAGTGGGCCTAAGTAAAGGGACACATCTGGTTAAAGGTTTTGGCACGTTATTAATTAATTTCTTGTGAATGGTTGTGACAAGGTTTAGGCTATATAAGGCCTTTTCACACGGGTCGCTCTGCGCTCCTCATCAGCAGACAGGCAAACGAGCGCTCAGCGAGGTAACCATGGCAACGGCTTCTGTGTGACTGGCGCGATCCTGTTAAACTGTCGCGGTCGTTCTCGTCTCAGGCACACGCCCGCCCGCTGCCAGAGTTGAAATGTCAAACTTTTTCCTACAGTTTCCAACAGATAGCGACTGATCAGCTGTTTGAGTTTCCTGAATAATATAAGTGTTTCTTTAACAGTCAGGCCACCAGGTCTTAAACAGGCAACAACCTTTGCTGCTGTCTCTTATTCATTAAAAGTCATCTATTAACTTCAACTGAACTAATTTGAAGTTAGTAGTTACATTATTTAGTTATAGACTCAATTATTTCATGTTTCATGTTGCACATTTAGCTGTTGAAGTTTGGTAAAAAATTAATACAAAATAATAATTATTATAGAGAGGTTGCGATGGTGCAGTGGATTAGACCCTTGTCTTTGATTCCCACTGCAACACATCCATTAAATAACTTATTGTCATGGGTCCTGCTTTACCTTCCATGTTAGAGCCACCGCCAGTTTAATCGGGGTGTCGGGTGGTCTCAGTATATTTTCCTGCTTTTTTGCCCTTTGCCAGTCACATGCCTGATTAAGTAAGGGATCAGAATACTTCCACCACTGCTTTCAACAATGTTTAAGCTTTCAGACAAGAAACCAAACCATTTGACAGGTATCTTCTGTAGCTACTCAAAGCCTACATTATGTGATTTACCTTAAAATCAATTACAGGAGCTATGGAAAGTTTTTGCACGGCGCCCATATAAACTGAGTACAGCAGACTGTGTAAAGAACTCAAGTGTTTCTTTTCATCACTGTAAGATTATGCGTAATTACAGTTGGGCTGCCACACATAATCCATCTGACATAATTCCTGATTATTACAGCTGTTTGTGGAGGAGAGGA